TCTAAAGTTACCTTTCAGAAGCTGTCAAATTAAATTGTATCCTGTTGTTTTAGGTTCTAACAGGAAACATTTGTTTCATTCCCACACTTGGATTTTTCAAAATCTTAGTTTTACTGACATTTGTTTATGTTTAATTTTACCTCATCTATATCACACCAAAGAAGAAGCTCATCGATACATTTTTGTCCTTCGAATATATTTGTGATGCAAAAGGCATCATCAGGAAAGAGACAAGAGAGAAGAGAAGATTTGAGCGACGGCGAATGATCATTAATAAATATAAGAAATAAAATCGGGCCTAAAATACTACCCTGTGGTATATCAGACGTCACACGAACGGAAGAAGAAAAAGACGGAAACTTTTTGAGTACGCTTAGAAAGATAAGAAGAGAACCATTCACATGTCAGCATCTATAACAGTATGAGCCATCACTAATAAAAGCATTGTTAATGATAATTTCTGCGCTATAGCCATAGATCAGCTAGAACAAAATTCATTCGCTTAAATGTCAGAACAATCAGAACGAAAGAGCCTGGGTTGTCTTAACCGCACGGAGTCAGAAAACAGGAAGTCAGGATTTTCTGCAAGCATTTTTCAGTTATTAGAACAATGAGAAACGGAAATTGTTGTATACTAAAGGATGCATAGTTTTTTATCTATCTGTCTGGCTGATTTTCAGTTTTACAAGCTCTAAAGTTACCTTTCAGAAGCTGTCAAATTAAATTGTATCCTGTTGTTTTAGGTTCTAACAGGAAACATTTGTTTCATTCCCACACTTGGATTTTTCAAAATCTTAGTTTTACTGTAGAAGATGTAGAATTTAATTTTCCGCAAATCGACGTAATTATTAAATAAAATTGATAAACATTTTGTCGTTGAGATTGAAATAAAAACGGATACACAAGAAGATGGGTTCGAAAGTCAGCGTAGCTTCGTTTTTCTACTCCATTAGAAAATTAAGTGCAGGCTCCACGCCGGACCAAACTTGATGAAATTAGGGTGGTATAGCAGAATTTCAAGGCGAATCAGGCAGCGGGCTTCTGAAAATTCCATTTTGAGTGTTTCAAGTGTTGTCGCAATCTCTACGATTACTTATAGTAAATTTAGGTGTGTTCTGTCACTTTTTTCTTCTGACATTTTGTCTTGTTTTTCTCTTCTATATAGACAATACATTCGACCATCGAATAACAGATAGAACAAAATTTATTCTAAGTTTAATTCTTTTATATAAAACACGCGGAAGTTCAGATCAAGCAGCAACACTAATAAATTCAAATTTTTACATGAAAATATCATCTATACCATTTTTCATATTTTCCTTTATCAAAGACAATTGATCATACAGCTTTTTTCACCAAAAAAATCAAGATTATAACAAAATGTTCTGATTTTATTATCTCATTGTATTTGTATTGCTAATATTTCATTGTATCTGTTTTGACCTGTGGAATAAAAAATGTCATAGAACATTTTGTTATAATCTTGATTTTTTTGGTAGATACAATAGATCTTACTCCACTGTTATCGCTGAAATACAAAGTCCTTGGTGTTACCGTGACGTTCTCTATACCGAAACGAAAAAATTCATAACTTTTGTCTTTGATAAAGGAAAATATGAAAAATGGTATAGATGATATTTTCATGTAAAAATTTGAGTTTATTAGTGTTGCGGCTTGATTTGAACTTCCGCGCGTTTTATATAAAAGAAATTAATTTCTTTTAGAATAAAAATATAACACCCCCACGGAGAATCTTAGTGGCGATAATGATTTTTTCTAAATGAAGAAAGGATTAAAGTTCCATAGGTCATCACGGAGAAAGTATTTGTTATTTTTTATATAAAAAACAAAACACCAATTTCATTTTGCCTTTTTCGAAATTTTATTTTAGCAGGTAAACGATTGTAAACAATGGCTGTTTATCAAAACGAATACGCTATTGGAAAATAGTATGAACAAGTCGGTCGATAATTACGGAAATTGGTACAATAACTGAATGTGTTCTCTGTGTACCCAGAATCATCCATAACTGGTAATTTATCGTCGATAAGAGTAGGACGAATTTACCAAAATAATCGGTAAAAAGCTTTTTGCCGAACGTTCGGTGAGTAGTTTATTGCAACCTTTGCATTCTGACCATTATATACTAATACACGGTCTTCTTTCGCTTACCTCTCAATTCTTTACTATTGCTGATTCGATTTCCACTCTAATGAAAACAGAGCGTCTTCTGTAGAGAGAATTTTATGACTGTCGTGGTAAATGCTACAAAGTCAAGGCTCTTCCTTGCGAAACGAGATGAAAAATAGCTCATCAATACAGAAGTCATAAATAACTGGCGTTTTCATTAAAAGAAACTCAACTCTCTCTAGGGATGCGCCATACTTCAGAAACTGTCATGTATAATATTTATAATAAACTGTAAAAGATCGCACAGCTTCGTTCTACAACACTTACAATATATTTTGTGGGAAAAAGCTTTCTTCTGTTGAAAACTCGGAAAAAGTCCTTGATTTGCGTTGCATGCACAACTTAAAATTCAGTTCTTCATCCTACACTAAAGTTCAACGTTTAATACTTTGTGTGTTCAGAATTTTTCGAGACTCGCCCTTGCTTTTACGTTGCCATCTGTATAAAACTTGTGTACGACCAGTGCTCGAATATGCTTGTGTTATCTACGATTCAACCTTTACTGCTCACCTTAATATTTTGAACAAAATTCAGCGTCTTGCTAGAATAGTAGAATTATCTCACAAGACTTTAATAGTTTCTCTTATCTGCTCAAAAAAATTTAAAATACAACGACTTTCTAATAGACGTCTTTACTTTCGTCTTCTATACTTTCATAAAATATTCTATAATAAAAGTCCTCTCTCATGTTTTGATTTGATATCACCACTATCTACGCGTCAAAGTTCTCGATTAGGTCATAATAATAGCGTTTTCATTCCTCGTCTCAAGCTAAAATCTGCATCCGACTCTTTCGTTCCACACGGCTCAAAGGAATGGAATGAACTTCCTTCGGTTTTAGCATGTCAGTCTTCTTTATCTGTATTTAAGCGTATGTATGTTAAGAGATCATCTAGGCTTTCAATAATTTTTATACTTATTACTCTTCCTCTTAAAATGTATCACACTTATGTTTTCTCTTACAATGTATGTCTTATAGTAGCGATTCTTTTTAGAAACTTTTTAGTTTAGGTTATCATGAGATGTCTCCGGATGCCACAAGTCTTTTTGGTGCTTTTTCGTGATATCCTATCTTCGTGTAAAATAAATCTATCTATCTATCACAACGATAGAAATCATTTGAGCTTCTTCCCAGGGGCAGTTCTTTATGTGTTGAGTTCAAAATGAGACCTCAGGTTACACTGGGGCGTTTCCGTCCGTAAGGTAGATTTCAACGGTAGAAGTGAGCTAGTGAACTGTTTTCGTAACTTTTGGAAGTATACAAGTAAATACTTTCAACTTTCTTATAAAATCGCCCATAATTTTATAAATGCTCTAAAACCATTTCCGATTTATAAAGTCAATCTTTTATAAATTAGAAAATAAATTGGATTAACAATGTACTGTAAGATTAGTATATGTGCAGCAGTCTTTTGTGTTTCTTTTATTGTTAACTGAACATATCTAAGAACTTTGTCAACTGAACTTCACCTGTTAAACTGATTTGTCCATTTCCATTTCTAATTATTATTTCTCCCGTTGAATAAGCCAAGTTTAGACTTTTTATGCGAGTCAACACTTGCTTCCAAGTTTCTCCTTTATTCACTTCGACAATCATATCATCTGCATTATTTGATTGAAAATTTTGTGGCCATTTATATTGTACATCAGCTATTGCGTTTCTTACATGAATACTAAATTTTTCATTCGTATCATTAAAATGAAACAAAACCAATTGATTTACTTCATTCGCTTTTTTATAATCAAGATTCACAGGTAATAACATAAATGAATTATTCAATGGAGATCCTAAAATTGACTGAGCGCTTTGTTTAGGTGCCGGTCTAACATCAATCAAACCTTGAATTTCTAATGCTTTCGTTAAATACCAGTTGCGACCATTTGCTGATGTTTGAAGTGAAGCTAAGTTTTGTAATGATAAAACCTGTAGTTGAATAATTTCTAACATATTTAAATCTTCCGGATAAAGATATAGTGCTTCTACTAATTCTAAACACCATTGATACTTTTGATCTAAATACGCAGCTTCTGCAGCTTCAAACACTTTTTTACTTCCTCCACCGAGTCTAATAAGATTTTGAGCACGAATGATTGGAGCATCAGGATTTAAATCAGATGTTTTACCGCTGAACCAACCCAAGTACCGATCGAAAATTGCACGAATACTCCTGAAAAAAGTAATTCGGATGAACGTTTCCATTAGTAAGATCATTACGGCTTCGCTCTAATGCATTGGAAGGTAACGAGGGTAATTGTAGCTTTGTTAGCTTCTATCAGAAATAAGCATGAGAACAAAATTTTTCTTTTCTACTTCTACCACATTTCTTTTCACAGCTTTAATTTATTATGAACTGTTGAGTGTACGTTTAACCATAGAATATTAGCGAAAACGTCAGGGGCAAACAAAATCGCGGAGCAGAAATACAAAGCAATTGTGAGACGGTTAGTGCTACTGAGACCAACTGTTAATATAACAATTCTTAGAATCATCATAATACGATGTACTAGATGAACGTTTTTATTATTCGAAGTCCGACTGAAAATTGACGATCACATTACTATTGAAAGTCATAGCTTTTCGCGTGTTATCAGCTGGTTCGGGGGTACACAGTTCCTTACGTGTTTGTCTGGTCTGATTATCTTTTACTCTCAGGCGAGTAAACATCAGCAATTAGAGAATAGCTTTCAAAACTTCAGTCGCTATGACAGCGATCTTGCGGGCGCATATGAAACAAGTAAAGAAGCTCAGCCGTAAAACGTTATTCAGTAAGTGCTGAGACTGCTTTCTGAAAAAAAGATTTTGTGTTACTCAAAGTATTCAAAAAATAATTCCTATTCGATTTTACATAAAAATCGAAGCCGCACACGCAGCTGAAATTTAGTTGTTCCCTTAATCCTCTGATGTATTCTACCCAAATATATTTGAGACACTGAGGACAAAATCGCACTAGAAAGCACTAGAGAGAAACTCGTGTCGGCGTGTACTACGGTAAAGAAAATCTGTAATTATTAGCGTCGAAGTGGGAAGATGTCTTTTCCTACCCCAATGTTAGAATTCTGCTTCGTTTTAAACGAAGAAGATTTGCTGCAAGTCATCAAAAATTGTCGACAGTATCGAGAATGAGCAGATCTATGGTGTCAACAGTTAAAAAAAATCTGTCTGACACTGAATACTTTGGAACTTCATTGAGTCGAAGACAGATTTTATTCTCTTACCAGTCTACAGTGCCATAGAACTGCTGTAAATATGGATGATCTTGTAAATATTTTGGTAATTGAATTAATTTGTTTCCAATAATTTCATCCGGTGTTAGTCCTTTATTCATAAATCTAACAGTTTGATCATGGACAAACTGAATTCCATCTCGATAACTGGTAATAACTTCATTTATGTAATTTTCTCCAGATATAGGTTTTGTATGAGATGGAATTAAATATTCCGGTCTTAAATTTCGCATTAAATCAAGAGAAGAAGCCCATTGAATAGCATCTCTTGTAGTTGTTCCTCTAATGGCATAAATATTTGGAAATGATTTATAAATATTATCAGCAGCAAATAATACTTTTTCTTTTGGCATATGGATAATTATTTGATCATCTGTTTCACCCGGTGCATGATATAAAACAAAATCTCGTTCAGCTATGGTCAAATTCCAACTGTCTGTATTAAATGTATCAGTTGGATATAAAAGCGCTCGTGTATTATTTTCATTATGATTTAAATATAAACCAATTCCATCATTAATATGACCGTTAGCTGTCGTTAAATAGGTTCCAAACTGTCTTGCTGCTCTCTGAAAAGTAATTGATTGGACTACACTCAATGTTGTGTCCAGAATTTTTCGAGTTGTTACATGCGATTAAACTTTAACATTTTTTAAATTATCACCAGCTAATACTCCAGCTCCAAATACATGATCAGCATGATTATAAGTATAAATAATTCCAATAACTGGTTTTGATGAAATGGCTTGAAAATCTTTATGAAGTTCTATTGCACCTTCACGAGATTCCAGTGTATCAATTATAATATTTCCATCATGTCCTTCAATTAATATACTATTCGCTAAACCATATCCGATCGCACAATGAATTCCCGGAAGAACGGTTAGAACTAGAAAACAGAGAAAGAAAAAGATAATACAAATGATTATCACTCAAAACCTGTTCCTAACGTACTTTGTTTCTTGAACTCTTGTGTGTGGTTCACCAAAGCTTCAGGCGCCCCTATGACAAAATCATTCTTGCCTTTGACTGAATTGCGACTCCCACATTCTCCAGCATAAATTCTAGTAAAACAAGTTACCAGAATGATGACGAAGGAAGCGCCAAACATACTAAAGATGAGCAACGAAAAAAGTTACATTAATACACTGGTACTGCCATTTCCCATTTCTTTCAATCAAATAACATGTTTATTTTAGAAAAAAAATACAGTAAATTATACTAATAGATCATAGAATTCTACTTTTGGTGAAATAGCATGCGATGAATCATTACAGTTCGTTCTTTAGTATAGTTCGTCCAAAAGCAGTACTTATATAGATCTGATTGTCATTAACTATGATGATTCGATTGAAAGAGCTGTGTGAATATAATTGTTTCAAACATTTTTTCTTCAAAACCTTCGTAGGTTTTTGTAGTTTCTAATCAATTAACGATCAGTCCGAATGTCGAATATAAACATCGGACGTTTTCAGAATCAAGTCTCTTAAAAACTTTGAAACAATGGAGCCCTACATTTATTTTAACCTGTCTAAATCGCAGTACATGAAATTCTTAATAAAATGAGACGACTACGGACTTTGACAACTTTTTCTTGTTGAAGTATGAAGTTTATAAAAATGATATGAAAAGTAGTAGTTTCTTTCATTCAATCATTCTGGTGTATGCATACATAATAGTCATTGCAAAAGAAAAACGCCTGTTTGCCACAGAAGCGTGGTCAATGAATTTTTCAGATTTGACTGTGACTAGTCTCATCTTGTAGAGCTTAATCGAAAACCTATAAATCCAAGCTTTTAGCTTTCTTGATCTTTTCGTTCTGTAGATACCAGAATTTTTTGCAAATGATATCGTGCGAGAAAACAAATGAGTAAAAAGCATAAAATCAATAAATCTTGAAAACGCAAAGAGATAGGATCTAGATGTTTTCAGCGTATATAGTACTCAATGTCTGCTATATATATAGCAGACATTGAGTACTATATACGCTGAAAACATCTAGATCCTATCTCTTTGCGTTTTC